TCAACTCAAGGGGTCGTTGCTCTTCGGTCTTGGCTCTTCGCTCTTGGCTCTTCGCTCTAGGCTCTTCGCTCCTCGTTCGTCGTAGAGATTTAGCTGAGGATCGTGGGCCAGGCAGCGTATGTGCTGGCTGGCCCATTCATTCAGCTAACTCACACACTCATAGCGAACAGTCTCGGAACAGTATAGCCACACTTAACTGTAGAACTCAGTGATTAGTGAGGTTGTTTATTAAACGTGTTGCCTCGACCAATAGTGTGTGTGCCTTAGTATTTACATACACTACACTACCATCACCTCTAACAGCAACTTACACCGTCAGCAGTGTGATTGTGTAAAGCGAGGTGCAATGATTACCTGACAGCCCTTTAATTGGTGGAAACCCACCTACCAGCACCGTCGTTGCCCACTACTACCAACACTTACATTAACATTAGCTGCCCCGCCCATGCAGCTGACACTTAGGCTACGCCCATTTTAAACCTCTAAAAAAAGTTTGCCTTTAGAGGCTAACCCCCCTATTCCTGATGACGACCGCTTGTGTTGCGATCAAAACGTCGTGGTTTTTTAAAATTCACTTTTTATGTATATAAATTGAAAAAAAAAAAATGTGATGACACAATACCCAGAATGCCATTTAGAAGTAGAACATAAAGGCTGGATGTTTTGCAAATTGGACGATTTTTTTAGATCACAACTTACATTCAAAGAAATTACCAATAAAACCAAATATAACGACCAAATGCGTAAAGTATTTAGGAACATTAAAATGAACGCAAATCCGTGAGACAATATGAGTCCACTACAGAGCAAAATAGTTGCTCGAGAGATACTACTGGAGAATAGAACAAAATATGTTTGCCTCGGGGAATTACAGACGGGCAGATTGGTTTCAAAACGATGACAATAGACAGATGCTTGAGAGCAGGATAGTGTGTTTTTGAGAAATTTTATTCGAAAAGGAAAAACAACATACCAATGTGTGTAAAGAAGACAATTTTTAATTGGTGAATATTAACTGCTATAACATGGAGATCAGAAATATGGTGATTAATTCAGAAAATGCAACAAAAGGTAAAGAGTATGTATAGGCGTGTGGAGAGATGCACGCTTGGAATTACACAGACACCGTGTGTGGGCTGAGCCATCGATGCGATGGATCTCATCGATGGCACACATGGCAATGTGACTGAAGTGAGATGTTGCAATCACGCATCACATCAAACAGAGATACAGAAACAAGAGCGCATGGATTCGAGAACGTTCCCGATTTGGTGATGTATGTATGTACGTTGAACTTCTTTGCACATCGTACGGAGTCAACCGTGCCAATTGGAGGTGCGACATTGTTATTGACTGTCACGGGAAGTAAGTGGGTTCGAGCCAGACAATAACACTGGTGGCAATGGCAGCCAATGGAGAGAATACTGCCAAGAGGACAACCATCCGTGTAAATGTGAATGATGTGATCAGCTCATGTGCAAAAGCTATATGGACTCTAGCATGGCAAGACACTGATTGACATGCATGTTATGATATTATGATTGCCTCTTGTGTAATATTTGTATGATATCCAACGAGAAGAAGATAATGGTGCATGTGCCGTTTTAAATCAAAGATGTTATTATATTTACCGCAGTGTTTGATTCCATCAGTATCTCATCAAAACTGCATAACGCTGTTCACTAATTCAGGGAATAGGTTTGCAAGCTGACACATTGAATGGAAATAGAGATGCAAGTACCTGAGGATACATAATCAGTACTTCTGTAGGACTTTAAATGATACGGGGGTGATTGTTAGTGTTGGAGTCGCAGTTGGAGTGAGCGTTGGAGTTGGTGCCTGGGACAAGAGTGTATAGTATAGGGTAGCAGTGGACAAGAGTGTATAGTATAAGGTAGCAGTGGACAAGAGTGTATAGTATAAGGTAGCAGTGGACAAGGAGAATACAGTATACGGTAGCAGTGGATATAGAGAGTATGGTCAGAGTAGCAAGGACGGAGCGAGTACAGCGTAGCAGAGAAGCGGAGTAACGGACCTTGGTGGAGAGAGAGAGAGATGAAGAGTTGTGCATTGAAGAGTATGGAGGAACATTGAGTGATGCTGTCGGAGATGTGAACTGTATGCGGAATAAAAGGAACGAGAAAGACAAAGAAGTTGTCGCGTCAGTAAGAGCCCTACACTTCTACTGTGACTGCTTTTATAATCCACGAGGACTCCTGTTAACTTATGGTATGGTGACATGGATAATGAGGGCAAAAAATAACGTCTTCACCATGTATATCTCTACTGTATAATAACATCCATCAGCCCAAATATACCAACATAAACGATTATGATCAACTGCATTTGTTAATTCCACTTGTTGCGGGATTAAAATTTGAACCACTTTGACCCCAGACAATTTGCAAAAGCCATTTCTGTGCTACAAAGATTACTGTGCTGTTCATCTGATCACAGGGCTCAGACTTCTTCCAACCCATCCAGTGGCACCATCACAAAATTAGGGGGTATTTTTAAATCCCCACATTGTGCTCGTGAGTAATCAAACTCATGACGCCAAATCTGTCTGCTCGGTGTTCCACCACTTGCGTCGCACTTTCTTTCCAACATTAATTGATTAATTTGTGTAGCAATTGAATAATGTAACACATCAGTGGGCAAGTTGCAATCTTTATTGGCTACAAGTAGGACTTCGGTTGGCTTCAGAACCTTTCAAAGCTTTGAAAAATATTGTGCACAAAACTGCAATATACAATTAACACAATAATAGGGGTTTTCCCCTTTTTTCTGGTAACAAAACTGAAACCCTATTATTATATTCTGGTACTGGCAAAGGAGGTCTAATGATGTAGATGCTCACCCCGAGCCCTCATTACTCTGATAGTGCAGCATTGTCTTTGAGCTGTACGCCTTTTGGCGTCCTCTGGTCGAGCACCAATTGGGTCGAGGCTCTAAAGAAAGCCGTCCCTTGGTGTGGACCAATCAGTTTCAAGGACAGTGCATATATTATCATAGTGTATTTTTGTTTGCATTTTGACTGCAAGTATTGTGGTTAATGTAGACATAAATCCTTGTAAAAGGTTTCAGTTTTGTTGCCAGAAAAAAGGGGAAAAACCCTATTATTATATTTTGGTACTGGCAAAGGAGGTCTAATGATCTACAATTAACAGTTGAACTTATTCATAAATACGTTAAATCTTTTATTCAGATGCATAGTTGTTTGACAGATTGATAGGCATGCTGGCATGTCTCATCTTGCAGCATACTACGTGATTTTTTTTGCCTCACTCGCAAGCCTTGCAGTCATGTGAACCCATGCGGAGTTCAAAGCCCAACATTATTTTCATGCAAACGCAGTTTTCTCTTGGCGAAATGGGAGCCCTCACAACCTGTCAGTGAGAGCTGGGATTTATTCTTGCACTGGTTTAATGATAATTTCCAGTTCATTTAGACCAAAATATCTATACAGCATGAACGGTGTTCTATTTGCTTGGATAATCGGGATTTAGAAACGTACCGACTTAAGTGCAGGAAAGCTACCATTGATGAATGAGAAATGCTCCAAATCTATTTAGAAATAACATTTATTGTATTTGTAAAATTGCTTCTGGCAAAAGGGCATTTTTTCCAATGTCATTGCTTTGTTTGAAAAAAATAGCGGGCTTGCAGTTGGTCCCACATTCAGCCGTTATTATCATGGGTAAGCGATGAGGTTTTCTACCACATGCCAACCTTGCCAGTGCACCACCCTCCTATAAAAGAGTCAAACTATCCTCAATAAAGTACATTATTTATTAGTTTTATCTGTCAATCCTAATTCCAGGAATAATTTGCTGCATTAAAAACCTAACTGCTGTGGGACCATCATCACCATGACGAATGGGATGCGAGTGTAACGAGGGAGGATTTGAAGGTGAGGGGCTAATGCGATCAGCCCAAGCTTTTTCTCTAATCCTATAGCAGTAGCAAGGTCCACAGACCAGAGAAATCAAATCAGATCATTTGGCCCCATCGTCTCTGACAGAAGATAGAATCTTACTATAAATAAAACAAGTTAATAAGTAATATGAAAATCAGAAACCATGCTCAAATTACTTCTGGATGAAGGCCTGCCAAAGCCGTTGACATCTCTCACGGCCCTATAATGCAACAATCCAAATAAGAACGTGTACACGTGCTCATTCCATCGCTCAGTCTCCACGGTAAACGTCCTGTTGGGCGCGTCTCTCCCTTGTTTGCCACTCTGTCGTTATTTTCGACCACCGTCCTTACATTTCTTCTTGCGACGTTGTTCTGCCCAAGCCCAATTCCTCTTTTGAGTCGCCAAAATGATGTCTGTTCTCAAATCCAATATGTTTCTTTTTATATATCTCAGTGTAATTCCAAGCGTGCGTCACTCCACGATTCTCTGCACCTGTGTCAGCTTTTGATCCATTGCCTGTGTCAATGTCCCATGTTTCTGATCCATGTGTCATAGCAGGTAATATGCAATGATGAGCATAAGAAGCATATTCATCCTTCTTTATTGCTCTGTGAATCTTTACAGTTTAATTGATTTTATGCTTTTGTATAAAATAAAAACCCCAGAGCTATAATAGTATTGATTGGTCATGCTGTTGTGGTGTAATCGTTAGCACATTGAATCTGCAATCATGAAGTCACAGGTTTAATCTCCTGGTGTGGCAATTGAATCAATGGGACAAGTTGTTTAAATCCTCCCAAGTCTGTTTATCCAGCATTATAAGTCGGTAGTCCACAGGTTGCGTGCAATGGGGTAAAGTGTGGGTGCACCTTCCTCTTCCAAGATTTCTGGTGAGTGTGGAAGAGTAGACAAAACTACTCCTGAGAGGGGCCCTCTATCGAGAGCTCTCTCTGATGGAGTTCCTTCATCCAGCAGTGGCATGAACAAGCAATTAGCAGGGCTGCACTTTGACCCTTTGACCTTTTAAATCACCCAGGGCTGTACCAGTGCATTCGATTGTGCTTGTTCTGTCTTTCAGCTGAGACGAAGTCACTGCTATCGCCGCCCAAGGGGTTCCAGAGGACAGACGTCTTCGCAAGTGCTCCAGAGTACAGGCGTCATTCTCCATGGACGCCATGGAGAATGAGGTGGACATGCGCAGTGAGCTGGAGAAAATGCAGGAGCGTGCGGACCAGGTCACAGACGAGGTGCGTAAGGACTGGGCGCATGACACACGTTGACACATATGGCCACATCGTACGAGGGACTCAACTTTACGTGTGGAATGCTGTTGTCACAACCCTCTGTTCTTTTCTCCCAGTTGCTTTATATCCAACGATTATATTTGCGTTACACCATGAGACAAGTGCCTTTCCATTTGCAGCTTTAACACCTAGCGATTAGAGAATGACCCTGGAAGATGACATTACAGAACTGCGATACAAACATTATTAAAGGGATAAAACATTTATAGCCAAAATATTAGATTTGGGGGAAAAAGCTAAATTGTTGTGAGTTGTGTTGGTTTCTAAAGGTTACGAAACAACTAAATATTTAATTTGTTCTTTTACTGACCTTAAGCTGCGTTTATTATTGCAGTGGAATGTCTGAGCATGGCACATACCTTCCGTATAAAAGCACAGGTGCAATTACTTTTTGAGGTTCTACAACACATTCGATCACTTTTGAGTTGTGACATAGCCAACACGGCAGCGTGTAACACAGTATCGACAAGACTTGATTATTGCAACTCACTACTATACGGGACGTCTGGCAAAAACATTACCAAGCTGCAAGCATGTACAACATTTTCTGGCACGTGTCGCGACGGGTAATGCAAGATCTGACCGTGTCCGTCCAGTGCTTGCTGAGCTGCATTGGCTTCCGGCTGCCGAAGTAATACATTTTAAGGTCACACTCATTACACACAAAGTGCTCGCCACAAATGAACCGCAACAGCTTGCTGATCTTATCAAGAGCATAAACCATCACGCAAACTCCAGTCATCCTTGCAGCAGATTTTGGCTAACCATCGAACAAAGACGGTCACTGCATTGCACGCTTTCAGATGGACTTCTGCGGCCGTCTGGAATGCTCTTCCTTCCGAAAAAACCACTGGAGCTATGTACTTTTTAAATCTAGATTGAAAATGTATTTTTTTAGAACTGCTTTTTGTGTTTAGTCGTCCTTCTCCCGCACGTCCGAGTAGCTCGGTTGGCTACATATAGTGCGGAAGAAGTTAACAATACATCCCTACGAAGTACGCATCAGAGGCTTTAGCCGATTAATGCTCAGCATCTCATCTACAATCATAGAGGGATTTCAAAAGCTTAAAAATAACTAATATGGGCTCCCACTTTGTGTTATATGGTACATCGATTATATTTATTTATAACCAGCAATAGTCCATTTCAACCAGAAGTCTATGTTTCAAGGGAGATCCAAGTTATACATGATCTATATGATAGTGTTTTGCAAATAAAAAGGAGTGTCCTGGACTCACATTAGTATTATAACATATGCAGACAAATAATACACAGTCGTCATAATCTTAAGACATTGGTCAGGGAGTTGCTTATCCGACACACAGGGGCTAGTTTTTACATTATAAAAATGTTGCTCTATTTCTCTCATTATACTCTCAATGCGTTATGTTATACTATTGTAGTGGGTTCAACTGAGTCGCAGACGTAGACTTGGAGGCAACACATTTATTCAGTTCCAACATACGGGGTAACTTTCCCCTCAACAGAATAACAACAAATGGTGGTGACCACGAGGCTAACTACACTAGTTACAACGTAACTGCTACTTCGGACCGGGACCAACAGCTTCAGTCCAGGTCCACGTGTTGGAGACTTGTTGAACGGAGAACGTAGATGAAGGGCTTTTTCCAGGATGAACAACAACCCTGGTCCCTCTCAGGACCCGGCTTATATTCTCTGCAGCATGGCCGGCTCTGCCCTTGGCCACGTCCACCTTCCAGAATCATCGGGAAGGTTCTGGGTCCAAATCACGTGACCACCCATAGCCCCCTCTTGGGGCCCCTTTGTCAAATTAACTGGTCACGTGTCCTCCCGGGTCAACCAGAGCGCCATGGCCTCACGTAACATCATCCTTCGGCCGACACCCACACACCCTGTCCTCTAGGGTCGGCACTGCACGTAAAGCACGGTGCCATCGATATTATATTCAGCGGTCACGGGGCCCCTCTAGGGCCGGTACTACACCCACACCATTGTGGTATCCGCGATGTCGCTACATCGCACGCCGTGCCCCTCTTGGGCCGGCACTGCACCCAGCATGTTGACATCCAGCGATGTCACGACACTATGAAGTTGATTTGAAACACTAGTACTCATAACATCACAATAATAGTGCCCTTTTATTTTTCAAGGAAAGCCTCACTGACACTTAAGAATATTTTTCAGGAGGGTCCTGAATAGGGATGTTTGGCCAATTATATTTAAGAGGATTTTGAAAATAGAGTACTTTGACAAATCTCTCGAGGGTGTAACGAGCATTGCTCTGCACAGATATGTTAAATGATCCATTGCTCCATACCAGAGTTTTTTTTGGGGTTAGATCGTGAAAGCCTACGTGTTAAACTAATCCATTGCTGCAATACCATCTCCTGGCCACGTCCCACCCCAAGCCTACAACATCTGGTACTCCCAGGCAGTCTCCGATCCAAATACCAAACAGGCTCAGACCTGCTTAACTTCTGAGATCTGATGAGATCGGGCACATGCTCGGTGATTTCATTGTAGTGCATTATTTTATCATTATTGAGTGTAATCATTTATGATGATGCTGAGATGACAATCTCCATTTACACGAGAAATCCTTTCTCACCCATAAGGTGAGACTCCTTTTGTCACTTGTTTAGGTCAGGGCTTGAACCAATGATCTTAAAGGCTCTCAGTAGTCTGGTGTGACACAACCTCATGGAGAAACACAGCTATCTCACACTTCAAGTTCAAATGCAGGAACTTTACAATATATCGAGAATTTCTGCTTCTGAGGTAGAAATAAATGTGAGTTATCATGGGAAGCAGGGAGACCTACTGTATGTAACTGATAAACACCGACACTTTTAACGTCTAATGTTCCAGGTAAAAGAAACACGAGGCCAGGTGGCAACCGTAATGATTGCACAGCTCCAACTTAACGTAGCTGTTGCTATTCACGTGACAGATATTCCCATGGTAGATACAATCCACGGTGGTTGTAGTTTTTTCAAGGAGATTACTTATGTTGGGCTGTCCTGCCTAACCTCCCTATTACCACGCTGCTGTAGGAGATGATTGTTCGTCCGGTACATGTGAGTGTCAAACATAAATAGTTTGTGGTTATCAGGATTACAGGGGAGGAGATTTACAAGATTAGACAGCTGCCATAATCTTAGTTCTATCTACAGTCTTTACCAGAAGGGATTTATGAGTGCTGTTTTCCTTTATTAATCAAAAGTAATATATATACACAACACATATTTAGAGAACGTGAATATTCAGAAAATACACGAGTGTATTTCGCAAGATTTGTCAAATGTTCTCGCCAGCGAAAGTCAAACTTGTCCACGGAGAGAGCAGCACGCTCTGGGACTGTGGACTATTTTCAATGCAATTGACTGCTCCGTATTTATAGGGCAACCCAACTATATCACGCAGCACGGAAGACTTGCATGAGTAATCTATCTATATATTAAAAAAGTAAAAAATTGTGGCGGGATTTGTGGGTTTGTGTGTGGGTTTGTGTGTGGTCGCGCGCTTCGCTCTCCAATGGTGGGGTTCACGTACAAAAAACAACAGCCCGGTACAACGCCGTAAGCCCCGCGGTGAGCAAGTGCTATTCCTTTTTCACATCCGTCAACTTTAAATTAGTTTAATTAGCGATTTAGTGCGATTTTGGTGAGCTTCACTTATATTTCTTTATTTATGACGCGTGCACGACCATACCAACGCATGCGCCTTTCCTGGGGGGAACGTCCCACACCAAATCACACGCCTTCGGTGGGAGTGAGGGGGACATTTTCTTTCACGTTAAAATGCTATAAAAATACACTAAATGCTCAGGTAAATTCTTCACTGTGTAATGTCCCCCCCACCCCAATGCGTGCAGTTATTACTACTATACAGTCACTAGATGCTACCACTATAGGCCGTAGATATTACTGCAGAGTGGCCGGGGAGATCGTGGCTGGGGGTAGGGGGGTCAGGGGTAGCAGCCCAGCCCAAGCCTGCCAAGGTGCCACCTCGGCCGGCTGGACAATCTAGGCGAGGCCGGAGGCTCTGCACGGGCCTAGGCCTCACCACGCCACTCTGTCAGGTGAGTACTTTGTGCTATACAGTCGATAAATAGTGCTATAGAGTCAGTATGTACTACTGTAGTGATAGCAGGTACCACCACAGTCGGTATGCACTGCTGTTTTCATAGCAGGTCCCACCACAGTCGGTATGCACTGCAGTAATCATAGCAGGTACCACCACAGTATGCATTGCTGCAGTGAAAGCAGGTACCACCACAGTATGCACTGCTGTAATCATAGCAGGTACCACCACAGTCGGTATGCACTGCAGTAATCATAGCAGGTACCACCACAGTATGCACTGCTGTCACCATAGCATGTACCACCACAGTCAGTACGAACTGTTGTTAGCTCGGTCAATGGCCAGGATCAACAGCGGCATGGTGTATTCCGCAAATATGCCTGACTGTGAGGGCGGGCACAAGCCGGCATGAGTAGGTTAAACGTTGAGTTTTATAAGGGCACCACGGGGTAGCCAGCCCCTCCCCACCCAGCCTCTCCCCACCCTCCCCACCCAGCCCCTACCTACCCACCCTCCCCTCCCCACCCAGCCCCTCCCCACCCAGCCCCTCCCCACCCAGCCCCTCCCTGCACGACGGACGGACGGACACAATAATCCCCTGTGGGCTGGTGTAACCAAGAGGTTCTTACCAGTATAATGTTTATTTTACATTGTAATGTTGAAACAATGCAAATATTATACAGTCACATGCTATATTGAAAAAAAAAATACTCAACATATTTTAATGAGCTGTTGTGACCAATATAGAATTATGGATTTTGGAACAATGGATGGAAAAATGTAAGCCTGACCTTCAAAATTATCCTTGTATGCTGCAGCTTAATGCCGAATGGAAAATGGCCTTATGTGTAGAAAACACATAAACATTGTACACAGTA